TACTGGCCGGTAACTCATACGAGAGCCAACTTGAATCCATCATGTCCGGCACGTCAGAGGGTTTCTCAAGAATCCTACATATGACGCCATGTGAATCGGGCTCTTAAATGGTGGGAGGGACCTCTTCAACGATGACAGTGGCCTCTTGAACGGTGGGAGGGGACTCTCGAGGAATGATAGGGGCCTCTTCAACGATAGGAGTGGACTCTTGAGGGATGATAGGCGAGTCGGGCTTCTTCTTGCGGTGTCTTTGCACTATTGGGGTATACGGAGACTTAATAGCACGTGCACGCCGTCTGATGCGTGAACTCTGTCGTGCAAGAAAAACCCGACGTAAAGCATCCACCTTATCGGTCCGCTAAATAAAAATACAAATATCAGTAAATAAACAGACATTATATTTAAACAGTGAAAACAAAGATAAATATATTTCAAACTTTCAACCAAAAGACAAAACAAAGACAAATACTAACTTCACAGTGTTAAAGTAAAAAGTTTAGCAGTTTTGGCAGCAACCGAATAAATTTACTAAGCAATCTAAGTGAAATGGTTAATTTAAGTGAAATTACGAGTAAATTTATCATCAAGTTAAATATGGAAAATCTTAAACTTACCTCATTGTGTAGAGTATGAACCTCATTCTGCAACGATACTACCATCTCACGTAGAGCGGCAACCTCGCCACGTAAAGTAGACACCTCCACACGCCATGCACCATCGTTATCGCGTAGAGTATCGATCTCCTCACGCAAGGCATTGACCTCATCACGTAACTCCCTTGACTCATCCCGTGGAGGTGGAGAACAGGGAGATAGAAGTCGTGGCATCTTTGTCGGTCGCCTATCATGAGGTGATGGTGGAGAAGAGACTCGATGATGTGACGAGATAGGTGATGGCTCTCGTTGTAGAGGTGTATAGTCGGGTCGATCAGGTGATGGCTCTGGGTGAGGTGATGGCTCTCGAAGTAGAGGAAGTGGAGGCTGCTCATCATTCGTGCCATCAAAAAAACGCTGACTAGCTTGCCACCAATCAGTGGCAAGCTCAGCCTCCGTGGGTGTCAGTCTCATTAATGGAGTGTTGGCCTCCTAAAAATATAAAAACTAAAACAAAGTTAAACGTCTACTATTAATAACTTGTTTATATATGATAGTATTTGTGTTAACTTACATTATTTATTGTCGCATATGGTATTAAGTCTTCCCAATCCAACATACGTTTCCTCTTCCAGGAAATAGCCCTAGGAATATCATCTGAGGATTTTAATGCATATGTCCGCATGCTGGGGAAAGCCTCGAATATCCAAATCTACAAACAATATAATAACAAACATTAGTAATTGTTAAATAATTAATTATAATTTTGAAAATATTATATAGAAATTCTTACCTTAAAGGCCCAAACAAAGCCTGACAAAGTGTATTTCGACCCATCGCCCCGCAAACTTTTAAGGTCATCAAAGGCAGACGACAACTTAGTCCAGGTAGCTTTCCATATATACGAACCCCACGGAAACAGATTCCATGCATTTAGGTCCTCTACCAATAATATTAGCTCCTGAGGAATAGGTTGTCTGGCCTCTCTGCCTAGAAAGCCGGCATACAAAAGTAGTAGAAGGCATACTCGGACAACATCGACGTCATTCATCCGAGTAAAACCATCTTTCTTATTAAACAATTTCTTCATGTCGTCGACGTGTAAGTTCGGCTTCTCTATTGACTCATCAGGAAAAACCCTGGATAACCATGATGGGCGGGTGATATGACGAGTGTACCGGCCTACATCATCGTGTCCGAATCGTAGACCAGTGATTAAGCAGAACTCCTTCCGCCCAAAACAAGTATACGCCAGTGGAAAATGAAACCATATCTCTTCCTCACCACGTTGTATACTGTCGGGTAGATCGCTAGTCATGGTCTGAAGCCACAAATGGGTCAAACTAGCATCTCCACCCGGATGCTGTACTCTCAGCCATGGCCCGAAGCAGGTTTCTTCAAACAATTTTCTTTGTGCAGGTGAAAGCTTCGAAGCAATTGTAGTGGCTAGGCTAACTTTATTCCTTAATGTCAATGAAGCCGAAAAAAATTTCTACAAAAAAACAATAAACATACCAAGTTAGATATACCAAAAATTACACTGTCAAGATATACCAAAAACAAAACAATAAACATAAATAGTAGTTTATTCTTGAAACTAAAATTTGCAACACTGTTTTTGTCTTTTGGTTGAAATGAAAATCGCAACGAGATAATGAGAATCGCAACGCGGAAATGACTATCGCAACGAGAAATGACTATCGCGACCAGACAATCGCAACGCGAAATGAAAATCGCAACCGCGAAATAAAAATCGCAACGCGAAATGAAAATCGCAATGCGATTTTGGTTTCGCGTTGCGATTTTTATTTCGCGTTGCGATTATCTCGTTGCGATAGTTATTTCCGCGTTGCGATTTTCATTCTCGAAACTATTCTTCTTCTGCATTACTTCAACCAAAAGACAAAGCAAAGACAAATACTAACTTCACAGGCTAAACAGTTTAGCAGTATTGGCAGCAATCGAATGAATTTAATAAGAAATCTAAGTGAAATGGTTAATCTATTATTGAAATTACCAGTAAACTTATCATCAATCTCAATATGAAAAACCTAAAATAATGCAAAAATTTCAAAATAAAAATAAAAAAACTAACCCTCGGAGGTTGATTTTCCATTTCTGAATGATTGTGAGGGATTTTTGACTGTGAATGGTTGTGAGGGATTTCGCCGGCGATGGGGACGAAAATCTTTGGAGATGGGGACGGATTTCGCCGTAGAGAGTGAGAGATGGAGATGGGACTGAGTGTTGTATTTTTGGGTTTGAGGTTATGAGTTGCGATTACTATGGACGGTTCATTTTCCGATTTATTAAGAAAAAATACGTGTTTGGAATTTAAAAAAAAAAATACGCGTTAATACGAATGGCGCTATGTAAATCGCGTTGTGAAAGTCAGTATCGCGTTGCGAAAGTAAGTATCTCGTTGCGATTTTTTATTATCGCATTGCGATAGTAAGTATCGCATTGCGATTTTCCCAATTCGCGTTGCGATTTACTTATTCGCATTGCGATTTTCCCAATTCGCGTTGCGATTTACTTATTCGCATTGCGAATTGGGAAAATCGCAACGATACTATAGACCATCGCAAAGCGATTTTCAACTATCGCATTGCGAAAATGCAACGCGAATTTGCGATAATGGAGATCTTGTTGCGAATTAGCGATCGCATTGCGATTTTGTTGGTCATTTTGGCAAATCCGGAAAAAGTTGGTTAAAATCGTATATTCTATGGGATTTTTGGTCACTGAGGTTATTTTCTCTAAAAAAAATCAATAGAAGTAATAATGTTTTCGGCCAATTTTTACCGATTTTATTATTTAAAATAATAATAAAATCGATAGTATTTTTTTAATCGTATATTAAGACTGACGTATCGTAGAACTACTTATGTGGTTCTTGCTTTGAGATATCTGCAAGTCTGATTTGCCTGATTTTATAGCATTTCAATACTGTTATATCTAACTTGCACTTACCATATATGATAATATTTTAATTGAAATTGTCGATGGAAAAAAATGGTGATTTCTGACGATTCCATTTTATTTATTTTTTGGTTTGGATTGAATATCGCAGTCAATTGTTCTATAGAGAACAAGGAAAGAGCAGTCTAGTTGAAGACGATGAATAATCGTCAAGAGAAATGTAACGAGGAAGTCTAATAGTCAACCTTTTTTCTCTGATAAATTATATATTGATTTTTATTGCTCATGTTTATGATCATGATTATTATTTGTAGATTATCATAATAAACATACATGATGATATGATGATAGATTTAATTAAAATAGATCATATAAATTTATTGACAATCATGTTAAGAGATTATAACTTATCGAAAGATATAAAATCTTGAAATTTTTAACAAATGGAGAAATATCAACGTACTTTAGAAAATATTCAAAAAGAATATAATCCAAAATACAAAATATCTAAAATTTATAGATTGATTTAAAACTTAAACAATAATTAAACTGAGGTCGGTTACAATTAACCCTTTTAAACTTGTTTTGAATTACTCTTTTCCATATGAACTCTTTCTTTGAATTCAATATTCGGACTGTACATATCGAGCTATAAGCCTAGGGCTGTAAATGAGACCGAAAAATATCAAGTTACTCGAGATTGATTCAGTCAAAGCTCAATAAATACTCAATTCGAGCTCGATTTTTAACGAGTCCAAACGAGCTACTTGATACTCGAATCAAAAAACTCGTGAGTAGTTTAAAAATATAATATATTAAAATTTTATTTTTAAATACAAATTATTAATATTATTAACTTTTATGTGTTATTTTTCTAAAAAATACATTATATGAATTTTTTTGTATTTAAAGTTCATGTTTAAATTTAAAGTTTAAATCCAGTTAAGTTTAAGATTTTTTTTTTCATTTCGAGCTTTTGCGAGTTCCAATTTATAATTTCAAATTCGATTCGAATTTAATTTTTTTTAGGTTTACGAGTTTTCAAGTTGAGTTACGTTCAACAATACTCAAACTCGACTCAGCTCGTTTACAGACCTAATAAGTCTATAGAACAGACTTTATTCGAGTGCCTTCTTTCATATAGAATCTGCTGAATGTGTATTTCAATGCTTTGCCATTGTTAGTCCTTCGTTTTGCCCATTTTTATAAACAATGATGTTAATGTGATGCCGACTACTGCCCAACTTTCTCTTCAAATAGGAGTTGTTGGGTTCGGCTGACCAATCACTACTCCCTATGTGCAGGAACGGCTGCGATGAACTCAGCCTTCCTTTCAGTCATAGATTGTATTGGTAGTTTGGTCTCTTCAAATTAATAATTGCTATACGTCTATGGCTGCATTTAATGTCAGTGGTGGAATTTGACCCAATACTTGAATTTGTAATAATTCTTTAGGCCTCTCATCATAAAGACAATTATGCTGCGTTTCTCAAATCTCTTATTATAGTACGTTGCCCTCTCTCTTTTCAACAAAAACTACGGCCCACCAATCTGTACACAAAATCAACGTATTATATTTATTTTCCCCTTTTTATATTCGCTTTTCATTGTAAAAGAATGGGAGTAGGTTGGGCTCGGACTACAAGTGGCAGCTAGTAATCGGAGAACATATATGATCATTTTTTAGTCATTACAAAACTACCGTTGCTCGACATCGTCTTCTTCGTCAAAGTTAGAAATATCTTCATCGCGTATCTGTACAGGATGATATAGTAAGATAATGTATCGTATTCAAGTGAAGTTGCTAAATAACGAGGTTGTTGGCGTTTGGAAAACGGCAATCATATGGTGAACTTACATCATGATGTCGCCTTATGCTGTTCCGAATAATTGTAATTGTCCGAATCAATATGTACATGGGGAGTAAAATACCAGTAGCTCTGAAAAACAATATCTGTAAAAATTTGCCAAAACAAATGTCTTCTTAGGATTGGCTAGAAAGAAAAAAAAATGCTTATACAACAATGGAGAAAATGAAATCGGATACATACTGTAAGAAGTGCAAACGGGTAATGACCAGTTTCGCCATTAAGTACGGCAAAGATATGCTTCACGAGCAACACGACAGTGAACTGCAAAAAAAAAAACAATTAATGGTAATAATCCAGTGTCAACTGTTACAATGGGTAGATATCTGTGGTTTTCATAGTTTTCCCTTACGAATTTAGCTTCTAAGCCTCACTGGCCCACTGATCCAACCGTCGAGACTACTAAATTATATATTAATGTTCTTGTTTTGAGTTGAATTGTATACTAAGTTTAAAAATTATGCACTCTCCTTTTCTTCAACCACCGTCGTGGCTGCCACATACCAAAGAAAATGCATGTCTCTCTTGTTATTTATACATGTAGCAAAGCAATGAAAGCACTTACGGTGAGGGCCAATGATCGGCAGCAAGAGGCGCCTCTGTCAGCGGCCGAAGCACATTCGGATAATTCGTTTTCGACGTTCATTTCCTCGGCCAAAGCAACTAATCTTTCGTCTTCGGCCTCTGTTGCTGGAAATTGTAGGCTATCTCTGAGACACCAGAAGAAGAAAAAAAGCAATAATTAGCGGAAAAGCACGTCTAGCTTTTTACATTAAAGGTGAATGCTTTCATTGTTAAAGTGAGTAATTTTCAACAGCAGTAGCTGGCAAGTCATGCGCCATTACCAACAAACTATGAATAGAAAACAAAATAGAAGTTACACCTGATGGTTACAGCTGCTTCAATCAGCTGAGACTTCTTTGAAGGAACTGTTACTGTATATCCCGCTTCATATTCCTGCACGATAAAAGATATATTATATGGTTAATTTTTTTATTTATAACCGTTGATTTGCTTAGTTCAATGTTAGAATAAAGATTAAATAAACCTCTGGGAACGTTTCGGATTAAAAAATCACAGCAAATATTCTTTTTATAAAAATAAACCTTAGCAGACAATTCCAGGAATCTTAGGAAATGATATTTAAATTAAGTAATGCAGCCATAATCGAATTAAAATTATACTTTAGTTTGTTTAATAATAAAGATTTCAATGAAATGTTGTGCAAACCGCTTGAATCACATGTAAGATGAGGGGAAACTTGGACTAAAAGAAAGTTTGATGGAAAGGGGTAAGTTTTGGATGCCCCAAACTAAAAAGAAACAGAAAAACAGAACGAAACTAAAAGCGATGAAAGGAAAACAGAGTTTGAAACCCAGTTTGGTATCGAATTAATAATTAAGGAAGGAAATAAGGAAACGATTCGAAGAACAGAAGCATGGAATTTCGCTACGATGGTTAAAATTCAAACCTGGAGACAAATTTCACAGGTTGTGTTTCCCTTCTCGTTGCACCATCTCTGTACGCAATCTCTATGCGCAAACTGATACAATTTAATAAAATAAAATCATCAGAACAGGGGAAATCGATGATCAGAATCTGAAAATAATTATTGATACGAATTACCTTAACAGAGCCAGAACAAGCACAGGGAGCTTCCATGCTCCTAAAGCTTTCAAACTCTTCTTCATGGCAAATTCTACATATTGAAATAGAAGGATTCGATGACGAATCATTAATAAACAAAACAACATCTCCCATTTGTTGTCGACGTTTCTCCTCTGTTTTTGTTTTCCTTCTCCTCAACTGTTCGAATTTTCTCTCCTCTGTTTTCCTTTTAAATGTCTGTTTTATTTCCTCTAGAAACCGGATTTAAGTATAAGAAACTGGTGTCGAAGTTCCATAACTACCCCCTATGTTATCATAAGTGAATATTATATAAATATTTTATTTTTGCCTTAAGCTTGCATAATTGCATTCACTTTATTATTTCCCCTTTTTTTGGGTAATAAGAAGAATAATTGAAATTCAACGAAAGACGCGGTTTAATGGCTTAAGAGTTAAGCCAGTTAAGAAACCCCTAAACTGTAAGCCTTTGACTTGCTTGTGAAGCAATTATGTTTATGCCTTACAGTTACTTTATGGGTAAAATATAGTAATGGGCATTGGACTTTTCTAAAGCTTGCATTTAGATCCCTTAACTTTTAAAACTTGCAATACAGTCCTCCAATATTTAGTCCGTTTACAATATGTTCTCTGACGTAACCGGCTGTTTGACGTTATTGCACTGCCGTTAGAAGAAGAAGATGTGGCAATCCTCCAACATTTAGTCTGTTTGCAATATGGTCACTGAACTTTTCAGGCGCCTGCATTTAGGTCCCCAACTTTTAAAACTTGCAACACAATTCTCAATTTTATTCTAAACCTCAAATTTCAAAATAATTCAATTACATTTTAAACCCAAAATTCTAAAATACTTTAATTTAGGGTTTAGAATATAATTAAAGTATTTTGAAATTTGGGGTTTAGAATGTAATTGAAGTATTTTGGAATTTTGAACATGAATTTGCTATTTGACAGAGTTTACTTCAATATAAATTTGAGGTTTGTTGCATGCACATCTAACGGTTGTCGCACTTTGAACATGAAAAGTGCACCTATCACATTTATTGCATAAACCGTTGAAGTAAAAGTAACAAGGTCAATTTGTCTTGTTCGTAGCTGTCGCACTTTGGTATGACAATCCAATAGGTTTGGATGGAACTTGAGCATGCATATCTAATGGCTGTGAAAATAGTAAAGAGTTTTAGTTTATAGGACTACAACATACAACCAAGCAATAACTAAAATAAACCAAGAATATCAATTAATAACTCATTCAAAAGGAGGACTCAATAAATAAAGGGAAAGAGGTTCGGTCATAGTCACTCCAAAAGTTAAGGCGTCAAATGGGTTGTTTAAGATAAACATTAGATGTCAAATACAACATTACTAGTTGCAAATGCATTAATGGCCTACCCTTTTAACATATAATTTCTTATAATGCTCCATGTTTAATGTTCCTCAATAGCCAAACATGATGAGAATCTAAAGCAAATAGCAGAACTAAAATCATATGACCCATAATTCTTGTAAATTCATGGCATGTCAGCAATAAAAGACATTGTAAAACATAGAGGACATTATAACAAACATATAAATGGCAGAAATGAAGGTACAAATGTGCAATGACAGGGCAACATATCAAGTAATTGCTCCAAATATACTACCTTGTCATGATGTCTTTCGAGTTGCGTGCATGCAAAATTGTCTTCTAAAGCTATAATTCAATACAAATTCAACTGTAAAATTTCCAAAACATGTAAAAAAATCCAATTCGTTCATGATATATCAGTCCCATAATCAACATGAACTTATTAAAAAGAATACGAGCTCACAGGACGCCGAAAATCATAGGTCGTATCAAAACAATTCCCAGTAAACTAGTACCATCAGTCTCTTGGATTGAGCCTGGCGATTTGACTATGTCGATACTCACAACTAATTCCCTAATTTAAAGAAAAACCAAACAAGAAGTTCAAAAATATTTAGCATAAGACACTCTATACTTTTATTCTGATGGACTAAATATCTTTCATAAGGAATACTAAAAGTTTTGATTAAGAAGAAATAAAGAAAATTAGATAGTTTTGGTTCAAAACTAACACTATATCCAGATCCTTGACATGCAGTTCCAGAAACATAAAAATTTCAACATAAAACACACAATTTCAACATAAAACACACAATGCGAGCTGAAAATGGGAAAGTGCGAAAGACGAAAAGCTTACTTCCAGATAGCCCAAAGGAGAAAATAAATACCTTCTTGCAAGTGAGAGGAGAGGCTAAGAAATAAACGTAATCGGTGTTACGTTCCAGCAATTCTTCCTCCATTTTTTTCTTTGTAAATAAAAAGCTGAAAGACAAAGTCTGCTTGGGTTTACAATTTTACATGGCGAAAAACTGAAGAACAAAAACCAAATGAGAGTGCATGTAAGCGAAAGAGACTAAGAGGTGAAGACGCTGTTTGAAATTTCATTATATTTGATCATCTGTTGGAAAATATTTAACCACAAGGATTAAACGAAGAAATTATTATATGTCATTTATACAAAATAATTCCAGCTTTGTTGGTGACTTTCAACAATGATACTTAGTTCATCTTAGTAGTATTTGTCAACTCTGCATTTCTAACCCCATTTTTTTCTATCAATCATTTCATCGAACATCTATGTTTCACCTGAGATGATCTGTATCTAACATTACACCTTGAATCGTTGATGAACTCGATAGTCCCTTGGTCAGGTCTTCTCTCAATGAACCCTTGTTCAAGTCAACATCTCCACAGAATTCAAAGTTAGATTAGAATTCCACATGCATCCCCGACTGAAAAGTTACGTTGGAAATAAGAAAGAGAGAAGAGAAAAAGGAAATTCGAGATCGAAAAGGAATTTAGGGTTTAGAATGAAATTGAGGACTGTGTTGCAAGTTTTAAAAGTTAGGGGACCTAAATGCAATTCAATGATCATATTGCAAACGTACTAACGGTAGTGTAACGACGTCAAATGGCTGATTACGTCAGGAACCATATTGCAAACGGACTAAATGTTGGAAGACTGTATTGCAAGTTTTAAAAGTTGGAGACCTAAATGCAAGCTTCAAAAATATTTAGTGACAATTACTATATTTTACCCTTACTTTATTCCAATCCCTAGTTATCATTTAATGTCAGGTAAAACGATTAAACATTAGTTAACATGTACATAAAAAAATTAATTAACACTTTCTAATAGGTAGGTTGAACAGAGTATTAAGTGGGTGATTTGAGATTTGTTTGACCATTCATTTCCCCAAATGTCAGTGTTGTATTTCCATGAAATTGCCTATTATCTTACTTGCCTATCAAGTTTTAAATGGGCAACTTTGGATGGACTGAGAGAGTTAATCAGGGTCACTATGTTTCCATTTTCTTTTTCGGTTTGAATTTCGGACGTCCGATCAAGTATCAACGGCCACAAACACTCAGGCCTCCAGAAACCCCGTATTTTAAAATACAAATGTATGTAAACTAATAACAAGCGCGGTCCCCGAAAAAAAGCATGAACAAAGAATTAGCTGAGCTTCCTTGGGCCCCTCTATTTGACGACTGATAATATTATTTTCTAGAATTTTCAGATTAGAAGAAATTATAACTAAATATTCTGATATTTCATCCAAATTTTGCGATGCTGACATTTGTGCTTATCCTTTTGTCGTTCTTATCCCTTTTTGTTTATTTCCGGATAATTTTTCCTCTCTAATTAAAATGGGTTCTTCTGATAATTATGTCATGACGTATCATTTTAGATTCTGCTAACAATTAAAAAATCATTTTAAATAAAATTATCGGTAGATAATAATTTAACTAATACTTCGTTCATTGTATTGAGTAATAAATAGTATGTTTAGAACAGTTGTTGAGAAAATTATTTTAAGCCTCACAATTTGGCAGCAGCTGAGTTTCCCAGTTTAAAGTGTCACAAATGGCAGCTGATCGACCAAGTGTTCGGCGCTAAGAGGCGCTTGCGGGGGCTCCATTTGCCCACTTCATCCGAGTAATGGAATCCACGTCTTAGATAGTGTTGCGTGTCTACAGTATATTGCCCCGATGAGTTAACTATCAGGTGCTAATCCATATTTTCATTTAACAAACTATACACATGAATTAAATCACTTGGGGGAACTGAATTTGAATGATTAATTGGTATTTAAACCCAAATTATTGGTATAATTATTGTGTAGTGAATTTGGGGATAAAATGTGCGTTTTTAGTTAGAAAAGTAACGAGGCTGTGGTTAGAACAAAGAAAGTTGATTAGAGATGGAAGGTTAGGCTGTTGAATTCATTCATATACGTGGCTTGAAAGCTCAGAGTGGGGACATAGAATTCGTTAATGCCAGCGTATTAGAATTTGAATGGAGATTAGATGTTGGGTCTGGTTCGTATGAAAGAAAAATGTAGCCTACTTTGGGCTGGTCCACAAATTTAATATTGTATTGGTGACAAACAGCTTGGCGGTGGACGACTCACTCACTCGCCTCATCTGATTTGGAACCAACCAAATCAGACTGTTCATAAACCCTGATGATTTGTTAATTGCCTGTTTTTGGATAAAAATTGTACTTATCTTGGAACCTTCCACCACAAGGCAAGGCAACCAACAAAACCAATATCAACCTACGACAAATTAATTTAAAAATAATTTAAAGTTCAAACAAATATGAAAATTTTATCTTAAAATATTTTCAACACTTTTTTGGAGACCAACTACGTTCGCTTTTGCTATTTAAAATCAAATTTACAGATTTTTAAGTAAAAAAGATTTAATTGTGCAGTTATGATAGCAAAAAAAAGCATTCATCTTTTTCTTGGAAATAACAAGAAAATATCGATTTCCTGGTGACAACGATCATATTATGATGTTTACAAGAAAATCAAATTTTTATTCTTTTACACATAAATAACTTATCATATTTTTTGATGTTTACATATGATTTTATACACCATTATAGATTTTTAATGTGATATAAATTATATATTATATATAAATAAAATAACATATTATAAACTTAGAAAATAGATTGGACCGGAAGTCGAATGTTAATACTCAAATCATACTCGTAATTCTTTTAACAATGATAACTGAATTTCACTAATAAAAACAAATGAAGGACTTAGAATTACGAAGAAAAACAAAGCATGTCCTTGAGAATGACGTCC